GGCCGCCCCCGCCGTCAGCGCGCCGGCGTCGCCGCCACCCCGGCTGTGAGAAGGAAGGCGGCGCCCTGCAGCCTGGTTAAAGCGCTGCAGGGTCCCGAAGAAGTTTGTTGGCCCGGAACCAAGCACGCCGTTGGGCAAGCTAGCTCGTTCTGAGCAAGCGAGCATGTAAGCGAAACTCGCCTCACAGAGGTTGTTGAGGAGGGAGGAGGCCGGCAAGCTGGCGGGCGGAGAAGTGGTGGGCAGGCCAGGTTAGACGAACTCCAGGGGCACCACCGCGAGAGACTAGTTGGTAGAGGAGTGGCGAGGAACTGGGTATCAGGATACTTAGCCAGCCTCAGGTATAGTGTGCTGGGGTCAAAAAGAGGAGGACCCAGAATGCTGAAAATGCGCAGAGTTAGTATCGTCCAGAAATTCGACAGTGAGTAATCATAAGCCACAGTTGGAGTTTAGGAAATGGAGGGGTAAAGAAATTAACTGGGTCGCCTTTCCCACTCCCAGTTCCTCTAATACTGGGTCAAGTCATCTGCTTGGAGAAGTCTGAGGGGAGCCAAGACGGGAGGATGGTTAGGGAGCTCAAGAGGAATTACATCTGCCTGGAGGAGTGATGTAACTGGAGGGAATGAAATAAAAATCAGCCCAATAACCAACCACCCTCATCCCTGACCAAAAAACAAACAAACAAAAACACCCAAAAACCCAGGGGTAGGTGGGGGGGGAGGGAGGGGAGAGGAGACAAGAAAGCAATGGTGCCTCTTTCAACCAAAAGGAGCACTTCTGTCATTCCTTTAAGAAATTTAAAAAAAAAAAAAAAAACTAATTGCATGTATGGTCTTTCAACTTGCATAGCACAGCATAGCAAATTGGGTGACAGCTTCTAAGTAAATTTGACATGTGATTGCAAAAGAACTGAATATTGAGGTGTTCAGATGTTCAAAAGGTACATAAAAGCCCCTTCCTGAGGGAGACTAGCAAGGTTCTCTGAGCAGGAATGTCTTCTGTGTAGAAGAGGGTAATCCTCCCACTCACCAAAGATGAAAAATTCATTCTTTCCCTCGTGCATCGAAAATGGAGAAAGCAGCTGACAGATGCTTTCACAAGGTTTTTTGCTTTTGTTTTTGTCTAGCCCAGTGTCTCAAACTGGTGGAAATCTAAGTGAGGGTTCCGAAAGTACAGGGAGAGTTGTAATGCTAGAGCAGGTGATGAACCTGAACCTGATATGAACAAGTCAGAGAAAGCAAAAAGGTGAAAGAAAATAAAATGTGGTTATTATTACATTATCACATTATCCCTGATACAGAATCATTATAATCCAAGGAAACCATCTAAAACAGATGGGAGCTCATGGTATTCTCCAGAAATAGAAAATTTCACATCTATTTTGGTTTATTTTTTTCCAGCAGGCAGAAATGCCCATTTGGGTACGTGAAGTGAATGGTTTTAGAGACAGGAGAAGATATATATGTAGAAATGGTTATATGGAATCATAAATGTAAATTCTAACGAGGAATTAGCAGGAATACAAACTACCAGGGTTAGAGAGGTGCTAATATGTAACCTGAAAAGATATTGGAAAAAATAGAATGACTGCAACTGGAGTTGGATTACTTGAGTCAGGTCATGTTGGGTATGGATGTCTTAAGGAGGCAGAGAATAATAATGCTTAGTAGAAAAGCGCAAGAAGAGAGGACATTCTAGCCAGAAGGCATGGCATGTGTGAAGGCTTCGAAGTGGGGTGTGTGGTCATGTGCCTATTAAAACCGAGGATCCTTGCTGGACTGAGACCTGAGAGGAGAGCAGATAGCACCTGCTAAGAGAGATTGGAAAGGAGAGACTGAGAGGGAAGGGACGCTTTAGGGTGTTATTTTATAGGCCAATAGAGGTATTTTGTAGGCCAATACAGATAATCATATGAAGAAGTAGTAAATTGGGTTTGGATACTAAGAGAAAGATGGTGAATGCGAAAGTGGAACAATAGGCCTGGTTTATCCCTGCTTTGATTATGAAGCCCAAAGGAGCTTTCATTTCGCTGAGAGAAATCAAAGATAATTTTGAGAATATTAAATTGTTAGAGTGGAAAATTAATAGGACCTTTTAAATGGAAAATGGAAAAATTAAGAAAAAGTTGATAAACCAGGAAAAATAAACATATTAATTTAGAATTGAAAGTGCCAATTAAGTCATTGATATAGATATTTATGTTGAAGCATGATAACTCAACCTGAAAAAAAAAAAAAAGGTAGTTGTGAAGACCAAAATTGACAAGAATAGCAATAAAGTTGACAGAGACAACTGTAATTCCAAGGAACAACTCAATAATAAAAGATTGTCAAGGATAGAGACTATTAATTAAACAAGCTCAAACGGATTGTGAAGCTAGAGACCCTGTGGAAAGTCTACTTTAGAAGTGACAAGAGAAATAACACAGAACTTTAAGTAAATGTGATAAAGTTGGTTGATTTTAGAAGAGTATAAACATTGTGAACCAGGGATTATGATTTCTGTGAAGGAAGATAGCAACCTTGATTCTATTAATTTCTTCTCACTAACTGACATTAGGTTTGCTAATTCTTCTTTTAGTTTTTCCTATATGGGGTTTCCCAGCTATCTGAAAATGAACTATTTAAATTCTATGAAAGACCTACATTAGTACCTGTTCCCAAAAAGAAATATGAAGTAATTTTTTGTTTTAACAACAAAGTGTGAAAAGTGAAAATGGCATTCAGTGTTTGTTTTGCAGAAGCTGTTACAGAGGCATTGATGAGCTCCTTCCCTGGAACTGCTTATACAGGCTGCGTATTTATCATATCAGTCCTGCTTTTGCCATATGCTAGTGTTATTTTGGGTTTATTTTTTATTTGGTATGAATTGATAGGTTATTTTCTGGGTCTGGGGACCCTCAAGAATTTTTCCACATAAGTTAATGCAATTGCTACTTCACTCTATATCCTTTTGGCTTATAAAAGATTTCATAGAAATGCTTTACTTTCTCCTAATGGAGAAAACTTATTACTCTATACTTCCTCATTTACTCCTTATCTTTATATAAATATGAAGTCCACATATGGATATACTTATTAACAATTTCAACTCTTCATTGCTTTAGGTTTAGAACCAACGTGTTGACTTAAGTCATATTCATTCTACAAATTGATCAAATGAGTAAATACTAAATTTAAGCAAAATACAATTAAGTTACAATCTTTTTTACTCCAAGATCTCCAAATAGAAAGTTGAAAGGACATACACAAGTCATTACAGTGCAATATAGTTGTGTGAAACAGAGATGGTATTGAATTCTGTTAGATCTCAAGGTGCTGAGTAATGAAATCTACCAGTGATGGTTTTTGCAGACTTCATTAGAACTGCGTGTGCAGGTAGATCAAGAGCTCACCAGGTAGAGAGAAAATCAAAAGGACATTCTAGCAGCCAACACAGCATGTCCATTCTAGCAGCCAACACAGCATGTCCAGAAGACTGGTGTCTAGAACTGCAAATCACTTGATGATGTAGCATTGAAGTGAAGCACAGGATTTGAGCCTGGACAGATGAGTTGAAGTACTCTTCTGTAAAAGAGCTTTGGGATAAGTAATAAACAGCCACCAGGAAACTTTAATAAAGCAGAACACTAAAGTAAATAGATCTTTGTTTTAGAAGTAGGTTTCTTAAGTAGTAGTGCTTGGTCCTTTCCCTAATACCAAGTTTCAAAGATGAAGAATGAACATTATAAAAGTTAGATGGCAAAACCTAAAGTTATTTATGTTCCATAGACAGACTTAGTTTGGTTTACTCAAAATCTTACAGTAACGGGGACCTTATAGTAACATTCACACCATTCCATCATTCTGTATAATTATTCTGCTTGTTTTTTACTTCCTACTATCTCTTAAAGATAATATGTGTGTTTGTTTATTTTGGTTTCTCTAACCAATGTGGCACTGGGAACTTCCTATTTGACACACTTTTGTATCCTCAGTGGAGGCTAGTAGGAATCTCCTCCAATTGATGCAATGAAAGAATAAGGCTCGTCAATGTTCTTTTCTGTCCTTTTCTTGTGCTTCCAATTCACAAACATATATATATATATATATATATATATATATACATACATACACACACACACACACACATATATATGTATATATATATATGTATGTATATATATTAGTAAAGAATTGTTTTAAATGTCCCAGTTCAAACACTCAGTTTTGATAGCTGCCTTACAGGATTTAAAAAACTGGACTAATAAAGTTTAGGGACAGTGACATTAAAAGAAAAATTCTTTTCACCCAACTCATATCTAAAACAATTTTACTTGGCAAAGCATGATAAGAATAACTGGCTAAGGTATCAGTCAGAGTCAGGCAGTCAGGCAATCATTATCTCTTTGTTGTCATGGTGGTGAGAAAATCAGTTACAGACAGGGCTGTCTGTATGATTTTAAAAGGTTCATAGTCTCCTGCAGTGTTACATACTCAAGACTGCCACTGCTGGGGGCTCACTCGCAATAGACTTTGGTGCTTTGTAGCTTTGGGAAGGAACTTTATGGGCTCTAGCTACAATTTTAATAGAAAATAGCTGACATTTTAAAAGAAAGTGTACAAGAATGTGATAGTTCTTTCCACATTCTGATAGTAAACACCATGGTATATTATAAAAGTGAAAGCATTTTCAGTCAAGCCAACATGGACTTGTTTCTTATGTTCTGAGATCTCTCTCTAAACTTTAATGCTTCATCTATGTACAGAGGGGAATCAGATACTTGTTTGTTTCACAGCGGCTGTTGAGGTAGTGTTCACCCCAATCAGCAAGAGTGGCACCACCAAGCTCCTTCCCAAAGAACTACTTTATACCTATTTTTAGTATGTGTTAATTCTATTTGAAGTGTTACTTGTTATAATTTGGTAGATTTTTTTTTTTTTGGTCTAGGAACATAAACATTTTTTTCCTAAATAAGTGGAAATTGCTTCTTGTTTTAGGCCTCTTCATCAGAATACTCTGTCTTTAGAGAAGAGCTGGGGAAATGTGTATTTCTTATTTATTATAAAAATATTATTGTTATTGGTTTTACTTTTATTATTATTTTTTAAATTTTAAAATACTTAGACATATAGTATGTGGATCTCTGCTGTATGTCCTACTAATGTTATTAAACATCTTTAAACACCATATATAAAATAAATTCTAATTCAGAATTTGAGAACATTTGTGACCAGTTTTCTTCATATCTTTCTTAAAATGTATCATGAGACATCTTCCTACAAGTTTGAAAAAAAAGTGCCTTGAGGCTCTTAAGAAATCTGAGCATCCCCATAGATTACCCCAAGGTCACTTCTTTGAGAATAAACTGAAGATTTTGTTAAAGTTAAATATATATATATTTTTTAAGATTTTATTTATTTTTTCATATAGAACTGAGGT